TCATAACCGCAGTTCATACATATGTTTCATATGTTTGTTGTTGTTTGATTTATCATCTACGGGTTTATGTCGAATTAATTTGATGGCCTGCTCCCAGTTGGCTTGTTAGCTCAATTGGTAGAGCGCTGCACTAGTATCGCAGAGGTCAGTGGTTCGAATCCCGTACAGGCCTGAAATTTTTTTTTTTTTCAGGTCTGATTTTCATTATTGCTCAAATAGTGCTTTACTGCGAAGGATCGTTCACATATACGTCTCATAACCGCAGTTCATACATATGTTTCATATGTTTGTTGTTGTTTGATTTATCATCTACGGGTTTATGTCGAATTAATTTGATGGCCTGCTCCCAGTTGGCTTGTTAGCTCAATTGGTAGAGCGCTGCACTAGTATCGCAGAGGTCAGTGGTTCGAATCCCGTACAGGCCTGAAATTTTTTTCAGGTCTGATTTTCACTATTGCTCAAATAGTGCTTTACTGCGAAGGATCGTGCACATATACGTTTCATAACCGCAGTTCATACATATGTTTCATATGTTTGTTGTTGTTTGATTTATCATCTACGGGTTTATGTCGAATTAATTTGATGGCCTGCTCCCAGTTGGCTTGTTAGCTCAATTGGTAGAGCGCTGCACTAGTATCGCAGAGGTCAGTGGTTCGAATCCCGTACAGGCCTGAAATTTTTTTCAGGTCTGATTTTCACTATTGCTCAAATAGTGCTTTACTGCGAAGGATCGTGCACATATACGTTTCATAACCGCAGTTCATACATATGTTTCATATGTTTGTTGTTGTTTGATTTATCATCTACGGGTTTATGTCGAATTAATTTGATGGCCTGCTCCCAGTTGGCTTGTTAGCTCAATTGGTAGAGCGCTGCACTAGTATCGCAGAGGTCAGTGGTTCGAATCCCGTACAGGCCTGAAATTTTTTTCAGGTCTGATTTTCACTATTGCTCAAATAGTGCTTTACTGCGAAGGATCGTGCACATATACGTTTCATAACCGCAGTTCATACATATGTTTCATATGTTTGTTGTTGTTTGATTTATCATCTACGGGTTTATGTCGAATTAATTTGATGGCCTGCTCCCAGTTGGCTTGTTAGCTCAATTGGTAGAGCGCTGCACTAGTATCGCAGAGGTCAGTGGTTCGAATCCCGTACAGGCCTGAAATTTTTTTCAGGTCTGATTTTCACTATTGCTCAAATAGTGCTTTACTGCGAAGGATCGTGCACATATACGTTTCATAACCGCAGTTCATACATATGTTTCATATGTTTGTTGTTGTTTAATTTACTAATTATACCACTACTCCACAGTGTCTCTTCTCTACTCTGTTGCTGTACCACTGTTCTGCTGCTCTGTCAGTTTTCTATTTGATTACAACAGTTTGCTATCACTTATTCCCCTGTGTTGCTATAGCATTGTTCAACCGAGGAACTGTTTACATGTAACTGTGCCACCCTCCTCCAAGTTAACTTAACCACTAAGTTATTTTCTTGAAGCTCCTTCACAAAGCCATTTGCATGCACCATTTTCTATTGTGCCACTCTACATTTATGAGTCCGTCTGATCAATTAACCTCATTTCATTAGGCCTCTGTTCTTCTAAACTGTTGATTCTCTATATTTGTCTCACTCTTTTGATAGTCTACTGTACTTGAGTCTGTTACTCTGCCTATCTCTTATTGTTAGAATGTTGTTCCTTTCCCCTTTTCTGCTCTGTCATTTCTCTACTGCTCCACACAGCTACTCTACCCATTGGCTATTCTGCTCTTGCATTGTTTTGGTGTACAATTCAACCGCAGGTTTGCTGCTGTGCTGTTCCACTATTCCATTTTTACAGCATTCCACTCTTCCACTATACTACCTTGCCATTGTTCTACCATTCAACAGTTCCACCACTCCAATATTCCACCATTCCTCGGTAACACCATTCTACCATTCCACTGTTCCACCATTCATCCATTCCACTGTTCTACTTTTCCAATATTTGACCTTTCTCTAATTTACCATTCCACAGTTACACCATTCTACCATTGCACCATTTTACTTTTCCACCATTCTATCATTCTACTGTTCTATCATTCCACTGTTCCACCATTCTACTGTTCTACCATTCCACTGTTCTACCATTCCACTGTTCCACCATTCCACTGTTCCACCACTACACTATTCCACCACTACACTATTCTCCCATTCCACTGTTCTGCCATAACACTGCTCTATCATACCTCTCTTCCAAAATGCTAACATTTCACTGTTCCATCTATTATTCCCCTATTCCTGTAAAGTCATGCCTTTATTGAGGCTGACGTTCTGATTATATTTCGGTAAAAGAAAAAGATCTGCAGCTGAATAATATGGTGCCTAGTCAAAAAACAAAAAAAAAAAAGAAGGAAAACTGCCTCAAGATGATAATAATATGAACTTTCCAAATCTAACCTCAACTTCCTGTAAGCCCCCCCTTTTTCTTTCGCCACGTCGACTTACGCAGTTATCTGGTGTGACACTCTAGAGCAATCCAATTTTTGCCAAACGTCTACTTGTCGACGTAGAAACTCGCTTTGCACTTATGATGTTTACTATAGCAGCAAACCCTTATGTCTATTTGAGACCGTACCTAGCTGCTGGGCAATTAGTCACAGCATCGCTAAAAATTCAGTTCATCATTTACAGTAATTCTCATTTCAGTCTTGATCGTAATCTGAGATTTCCTTGATTCTACTTCTCATCCGTTACACGATCAGATCCATTAAACCAAGCGTACTTTAATAGTCGCACGAATTTTCCTACTCCTCAGGCAGTTTGGTTGTTTTTACTTACATTACCATTATATTATTTTCCAAAGTTGTGATAGGATGTTGTGATAACTTTAGTTTAGGTTTCGTGACACAATCGAAATGCACTCTGAGCAGCCAGCGCACATTGCGGTACTTGTGCGAACGAAAAAAAAAAATCATTTGTTAATTTTCCAGAATGGATTAAGAACTTTAGTTGCATTTTAAGAGTTGAAATGCCATTTTCAAACTAGCCTGCAGAGTAGGCATAATTTGGGTGGGCGAGTGATCAGTATTTTCTTAACGCTAAATGACCGCCATCTTTGATTTTAATGGCAACAGAAGGCTGGGGAGTGAAAGTAAATGGCATCAAGGAGGTGAGTGACGGTCAAAGATAAGGAGAGGGGCTGGGGTGCGGGAGTGAATATCTCGTCCTTCCCCCGCCCCCGTCATGGCGCCCGGATAAATGAATACGAGCTTATAACGTGAACTCGCCCTCATAAGACGCCTGCACTGCAGGCTATTTTCAAACATCCCCGGTGTAGTGTGGTCAGGGTTAAAGAATAGATGCTGGACCTGAAAATGTTCCTGATATGAATCCAAGGGTGAGCTCGTGATAATAATTTACTCTAAAAAAAAGTAGAGAGTTCAGCTTCTAGGAACAAAAACACAGTTGAATGACAAATCATGTGTGCTGCACCTCCTGCGAATCACGTGGATGGCATGAAATCAAACTCCAGACGCTTTTCCCAGAAAAAAAAAAAATCTTTTCCTGAATGCTGATTTGAATACCGTTAGCTCTTGTGTCGAATATCTGAGAGGGAAGGGTTATGTAAGACCAGCTCTGTTTTCTTTTTTCTTAGAAAAAAGTGGCAGACCTTTATAATTGTTTACAAGCTTAAAATAGAATTTTTCAAGGAAAACCTGCAGTAACAATTCTCCGGGTGAACTAAACAAAACGCTAGTTGTCGCGGGCAGGCATTAATCTTTTATATATGAGGGGCAGTTTTGTTTGCAAATGCGAAATGCAGAGAATGAGGCACTGTATGTTTTGTGCGAAGTGAAATGCTTACTGCGATGTTTGGCCCACCAAATCACGGTATCGACATGATTTCTTCGGCGGTTTGAACTGAAGTCAATGTTGATGTTCGGATAGAGCTCGGCCAGGGTAAGTACCAAGTTCTGCCACTCTTGAAATACCTTATGCCAACAATTACTTCACCGTTGAGTTTGGGGAGGATGGATTTTCGTGCATTTTTGTTCTATTTACAGCTAAGCCATAGTATTCAGCATAAATTCTATTC